GTTACATCGGACAGATGGCCAAAAGAAGATTATTATCACCGGTTATTATTATGGTTGTTGTTCGATCGATCCAGGTTTTCATTTTTTTTTGACCAGGAGAAAAAAAGTGACGCTTGTCTAAATTAAACAAAAACAACCAACAAAAAAAAAAGCCAAATATAATGGGTGTACGTGTTGTACATGGATTTTCGATAATAATAAAGGTTAATTTTGGATCGATCAATGAATGGATCGATCCAAAAAAAAATTTTTCTGAAAACTAACTGAACAAACAAACAAACAAGATTCAGGAAAGAGAAAACAGCCATATCGAATATCCAAGGTTTGAGAGAAACAAACAAACATGACAAACAAACATGACAAACACAACAAGGTTATTCAATATCCGATAATTATTCGAGGTTTTTTTCGGTATTGATTAGGAGGAACCCAAAAAACTGATTTCAGTTTTATTTTTTCATTTCGCTGTGTTTGAAAATAACCGATAACCATAACGGATATTATTTTTTTTATTTTTGATTAACAACGAAAAACATTTTGTTTTGTTTGTTTTTCGATTATAAAAATATTTTTATATTACATCAGAAATGATGGTGATATGATCATTATGTTTTCGTTAACACGTGTGTATTACCCAAAATGTGTTTTATCAAATTTTTTGGTCGATGTGTTCCATAAATGGTATTCATTAGATAAACAAAACGCGATCAAACATTTTGAGAAACATGATTTTTAATGAAAAAAATAGAATCCCGGCCAACAACAACAACAAAATTAATGGATCACATTGATTTTCGTGTTTTTACATAAAATCAAAATGTAAATTTTGTTTGGGAAATTTTTTTCTTGATTTTTTCCGATTTTTAAACTCAAGGACTTATTCTCTGTAAGAAGAAAACATCACGCTCTGTCCTTTTTTTATATTGGTTGATTGGGTGTCAATCATCAATAATGATTAACATCAAACGACAAACATTGAACGCTAAAATTGATTTTGGGGGATTATCCCAGAGAGAAAATTGAAACGAAACGAAACTAAATGACATGACATGTTGAATGGTTGTTTTGGCCCAAGGAAAGAGAAACGTTATGTTTACGAATGTCAAAATCAATTGAATCAATTTGGATCACACACAC